CCAAGATCCGGTCCACTTCATGACTGCCTTCAGCAGGAATCCCGAAAATTCGGCAATCCCTTCTGCGCTTGTCATAGTATCGCTGGTTTTACGAGCATGTTTTCCCAAAGCCGCACTTGTTGGAAATGAGGTCACAGCTCAAATGAGCGTCAATAGTATTTGCAGGCGTGCCTCTCTTAACCACAGCTAGAATTTGTCAAAAATCTCTAGAAGAACAAATATCTTGCCCTCAAGGGCCCCGCGAGAATTGCTCAAGATGTCGCGTAGCGTCCGATCCACGTCTTCAAATGCATGCCGATGAGTCATTGGGGCTTCTTCCCAGATGACTAAATTTGCATTCTCGATCAATTTTCGCAAATGAGACCGCTTGTAAATAAAGCAAGTAGAGTCCTTATCTAATTTCAGTGGTATCTTGAAGATTGAATGTGACGTTCTCCCACCCATAAGAAGTAGTGATGCAATCCCGCTGGACGCTACTACCAAAGCGATTTTGCCATCGAGCCGTACCCTTGTTAGTATGTGACGAAGTAGAGTGGATTTCCGTTTCCCCCCGGGATCCGTCAATGAAGAACAGCTCTTTGACAACCTCTGGTTCGTTTACCGCCGCTATGGTTTGATCATATATTGTTTGCTGCCCAGAGTTCAGTTGACTTTCGGCACGCACAATTTCCTCAACGTATCCCGGTCGTATCCTGTTAGCTCCTGACGAATGAGTGAGTTATCCAGAATGGGCTGGAGAACTAACCTTGGAAACTGGCTGGGTTGAGGAAGGTCGAATCCTGGACGGAATACCCGCTTACTCGCAAGATGTCGTTAATATTTTCCACGTCTCGAAGAAAAATACAACGAAACCCCGGATTGGATCGAACATGTTGCGGTGTTTCTGCTCAAATTCCTCAGACAAATCCTTCTAAAACTGATTTCACAAACCGCGAACGTTGGTAGACATTGAGTATACCAAAAGCGTAGCGAACAACTGCCGAAGCTGGTAGGGCATTTGATACGCGACAGCCTCGTTCATACACGCGACCCATTATTCGTCATTTTGAAGATATCCAGCATGCAGGGCAGCCGACTCATACTTCTGGTGAACAACGCCATCTACCGTTCTTAAATCTTCGAATGAAGTAGGGCCTCTACGATGACAAAGCATCACACGCAGGAAAAATCGCTCGGCATCCCGTATCGAAAGATGAATCAGTCTTCGAGCGAAGCTTGGAATTTGGTACGGCGGGCCCACTTTTTATCCTTCCAGCTGAATGCTTTCGGTATCTCTTGGTATAGCATTTTTTTTCGATATTTGAATATAGCTCGAAGAATTGCGTTAGCATAGTGTGCTCTCCATGTGCAAGAACGGCTTCCAGACTATCGTTGGCCCGAAGGCAATCATCTGTCTGCCCTCTAGATGCACTGTGAGTTGCTCGACGGAATGACTCTCCCCTTAAATACTATAGTCGAGAAACCGCATGCAAGCTTCCACAGAAGATATGTACCGAGCGTTGAGATAGCGCAGCACCTCATTTGGCTCGTCGCGTGAACTACCTATCTGGCTGCCATCCCCCCACCTCACGGCTTTAATCGTAAGTGCTGCCTTGTCGGAGCCTTTATACACATATTTGTAAAGACACTTCACAGCCGTGATAGTTGTACAAACCTCCCCATTAAAGCGGCAATTATACTTCTGGGAGAAGTAGGGGTTGTAAGGTACGATCCACTTGTTCGCCGTAGCCTTATCATCCTTGCGACTTCAAGATTTTAGCACCCCTTCTGGCCGTCGTCAACGCCTGTAAACCGGATACCCATCAGCGCTTGCTCGTGTATTCTCCGCCAAAGGTTTGGGAAATCACTTTGAGCACTTTCCGTCTTTCATATAGACACACTGGGGTTTT